ATGAGAAAGGATTTTCAAGTTTTATCCAAAAAATTTATGAGGAAGTGTTTTCAAGTTTCATCAACAAAATTCGAAGGGAAGATTTTCACAAACATATATGTAATACATTTTGATATAATAAATTATGGACGTAGGTATGAAGGACCAAACTAACATAAAAAAAAATTTGTGTAATATTTTCTTACTTATTATGTTGTTTTGTGTCTTTTCTCATTGTTGTGCATAAAGAAATTAAGAACATTTTTTTTGTTCCCAACAATGGTACCAAAGATCATGCTTTGTGTAGCTTGGACCTGTCACTTAAGTATTGAAGATTGACATACGATGATTTTAATACTCATAGATCAAAATCAAGAAATATTGTAAAGTAAAAGTATGATTTAAGATAATTATGACGAGTATCCAAGACAACAAATAGATAAAGTTTTAAAATTTTAATTGAGAGAGGAATTGTTGGAAGAACAATTCAAATTTTTAATTTCAAATAGAATTAAAAATATTGTATTTATTTTAGGAATTTGTTTTCTTTTTTAAGATTAAGATGTTAGCTCAACAAATAAAGACCTTGAAATGAGAAGAATCACTTGACCTATATATAAAGGAGCTCAATGCCCTAAGTAAGGCAGAAGATATCATATGAAGGAGAGTTTTCAAAGTTTTTCTAGAAAGCTTGTAAGGAAGGGGTTTCTAACCCATAAAATTTGTGAGGAAGGGTTTTCAAGTTTCATCTATAAAACTTAAAGAGACACTACTAGAAAAATAAAAATTAGAGAAGGAACAAATCCGTCACTAAATTTTAAAAAATCCTTCACAAAATAATTTAGTGACAGAATTTGTGACAGAACTTATTTCATCACAAAAATTGGCGTCACAAAATATTTAGTGAGAGATAATTTTAGTCCGTCACAATTAGTGACGGAATTGAGGCATCACAAATAATAAATATCTTTGTGGACTTAGGCATTAGGGGACAAACTAACAAATAAAATTTTGTGTGAATTTTACTTATTTCTCTCATGTTATTTTTGTGTGTTCTCTCATCGTTGTCCAAAAAGAAAAGAAAAGTTTTTTTGTTCCCAATAATGGTATTAGAGGTCATGGTTCGTGCAACCTGGTGATCTATCACTTAGGTATCCAAGATTGACATACAACAATTTCAATACGTTTGGTGACCTGTCACTTGAATATTGAAGATTAGCATATGATGATTCCAATACTCACAAAATGGAGAAATATTATAGCGCAAAAATTTTATTGAAGATAATTGTGACGAACATCCAAGAAAACAAGAAGATAAGGTTTGAATATTTTAATTGAAGAAATAATTGTTAGGAAAACAATTCAAATCTCTAAGATATTTTTCAAATATAGAAATATATATTATTCTTTTAGGATATTGTTTAAAATTAAAAACATCATATTTATTTTAGGAATCTTTTTTCCTCCTTGGAGATTAAGATGTTAGATCAATAAATAGAGACTTGAGATGAGAAGAATCAGTGACTTGTCAAGGGGTCATCGCCCTTGGTAAGAGAATGGGGATCATATGAAGGATGGTTTGCCAAGTTTTGCTAGAAAACTTGTGAAGAAAGGATTTTTAAGTTTTACTCATAATACTAGTGAGGAAGGAATTTCAAGTTTCATCCATAAAACTTGAATCGAAGATTTTCAAAAACATATGTAAAATACATTTTGAGATAATGAATATCATTGTCAATGTAGACATGAAGGGTTGAATCATGTTAAACAAAATTTTATGTGATCTTTTCTTATTTCTCTTTTTTCTTTTGTGTGTATTCTTTCATCATTGTGCTAAAGAAAAGAACAAAAATTTTTTGTTCCCAACACATGGGGATTGAGAAGTTGCCTTTTTATTATGTCTTTAAAAGATTAGTTTTGAAACTTCTACACACACATTACACAAATAATCATTTCTTCAATGGTCACGGTACACGTTATGCTGATTTTTTAGTTTCTCATTACTTATTTTTCTTTGGTTAACATGTCTCACAAGTTATATTTTTAGGTTGAATTTTAAAAATTTAAGGAATTTAATTTTTTTTTGTAAATTGAATTACTTTGATATCAATTTCTATCCTTCTTTAAATGTTTTACTTGGACACGTTAATAAAAATTTCTTAAATTTTAAATTCTTAGTTTGGATATCCATCGTGGTAAAATTCATTTTACACACACATTAAAATTCTTAAATATTTAATACCTTTCAAAAATTAATTTTAAATAATTAATATTTAATAATTTTAAAAGATGAGAGCATGGTGAGAGAACAAATAAAAGAAAGATGGAGAGACGAAGAGAAACGAGAAATAAGAGAGAAAGAAAAGAATGATGGAAAAAAAAGGGAAAGAAAACAAAGAGAAAGAGAGAGGAGAGAAGGGAGAAAGGGGAGGCAAAGACAAGAGAGAGGGAAGAGAGACAGGAAAAATGGAAGATAAGAGAGAGACAGAAAGGATATAAAGATAAAAGATATGTATATAAGATAAGGGAAAAAGATATGAAAAATTTCAAAATCTTGCTTTTTTTTTTAGAGAATTTGAAAATCTATTATTATAATTATATTTTTTTTACAAATGCTTGAATTTCAAAAATTATTTAAATTTTTCATCCAAACAAAGCATTTGAAATTGTTCAAACAAAGGAATTAGTCTATTAAAATTTTTCATCTAAACATACTCTGAAATAATAATATTATATTTGAGTTATTATTTGAATTTTTATTTAGGTGATACCATCGTAAATTGACACAAATGATACAAGATCTCGTTCGAACTTATGTTCTCCATCATTGTCTGATTTTTTTTTTACTATCTTTTCTCATTAATAATTAGAATAAATTATTGACATATTACCGTAAATATTAATTCATTCATTAAAAAATATAAATATTAACAACATCATTTATGTTTACAATGTACACATAATTATAATAAAATATCATACATAAAATTAATTATTTTACTTTTGCACAATATAAAAGATATTTTGAATTAAATTTTTTTATAGATAATTTAATGTATCTAACCGCAAAAATATGGAGGTGAACATCAAGTTCTATTTGAAAATAAGAATTGCAATGTTAACTAGTGGTCTTAAGCTCGAGTCTTAAGTAAACAAATGTCATAAATATTTGGAAGGAGTGTTTTGTCATCTTTGATAATATTACCCGGATCAAACAAAATTTCCTCCAATATTAAAAAATACTTGTTATCTAGACTAAATAACCAAACTCCAAGCCACTTAAAAATAAAAGTTTTTTGGTTGTATCTTAAATCAACTATCCAAAAATTTAAAACAATAGGTAATTAAAGACATATACATTAGTCAATGATTTTACTTTTTCATTATAAAAACACAACCTCTTCACCAATGTGGCAATACAATTATCGAAAGTGATGTTAATATATGTGAATAAGTTTAACTTGAACTAAATTACATAAGGCAAATATGTGCACATAAAAGTGGACTCGAAAGGCGCGCGGTTACCAAGAATGGTATCACATTTATTAGTAATATAGAATATAAATATTATATTTTCTTTTTGTTTGAATGGTGAACTAATTAGGTGAACTAGAAGGAAGATGAGGATTCCAAATATGAGACTCCCATGATTGGATAAAGATAGTAGCAGTTACTTGAAAATACTCCAATATGCTCAAGTCTCTAACTATTTGAGAAAAGTAACAATATAATAAAGTTGAGAATGCAAGAATACCTAAAGATGATACTATTTATATAGGATTTGGATGTGATATAAAATGGGAAGAATTTGTTAAGACACGTTGAAGTGTATTAGTATTGGAAAAAACTTAAATTTCACGTCAATTATAAATAAAATAAACAAAAAATTTATAAGTGAGGGAATATATTTTTTTAGAAGATAAAATAAAATTAAAAATATTTATTCTATCAGTTTAATTTAAAATTTTCATCTACAATTAATCTTTGTTTCCTAATTTTATTTCCCAAAATAAAATGAATAGAAAATGTTTAATATATAAGTTGTCAATAATATCGAGAATAACAAGAACAATAATCTTTCTTCTTCTTTTTTGTAAAGTTCATTTATATTAAAATAGAATTTATATTTATCTATGAAGAGAGGGAATATATATA